GTTACTAAAGGTTCTGAAAACATTCAGTAAACGTGATGGAAGGACCTACATAGGACCAAAAAAAAACAAAAAAACATTCTAGGTTGGTCCTACATACGTTATGGGAATGTAGTGTAGAGACCAATAGGGAACGTCCTATAGTAATGGTTCCCTTAACGTCCTGAATGTTTTGTGAAGGTCCTCCAAATAACATCCCCCAACCCTTTAAGGAACTCCACAACATGACCGTCTCGGAACGTCCTGGGAACGTTACTAGGCGACGTCCTTGACACCAACGTGGACGTTCTGAGAACGTTTTGGGAACGTCAGATTTCCAAGTAAAATATGGTCCCCTAAACGTCCCGAGAATGTCCTGAATGTTCTGTGAAGGTCCTCCAAATAACGTCCCCCAACCCTTTAAAGAACTCCACATCGTGACCGTCTCAGAACGTTCTGGGGACATAACTAGGCAACGTCCTTGACACCAGCGGGGACGTTCTGAGGACATTCTGGGAACGTAAAATTTCTAGCGGGGGAGAATAAGGCCTGAAGTTAGGAAGAACATTTTAAGGAAAATATAATTATATTTTCATAATGATTTTTTTTTTTTTTAAAAACACCCCTGGCCAAATGCCCACAGAGGGCATCACTTCCCACTTTGATAATTACTGTAGTTACCATGTTCTGAACATCACATCCTTTCTTTTCCCATGTTCTGAACAGGACATCCTTTCTTTCCCCCCAGATGTAATCTATCTAGGTGGTTGAAGAAAAATATTTGGACTTTATATCTAAAAATTACCTCAACTTAGCACCAGCAAGCTTGTTATCTAGACAGTTAGCATCAGTTAACAATATTTACTTATTTTCAGTATGGTTTTGAATAAACATTCATATCTGTCTACTCGACTAGTTAATCCAAACAATATAAAAATGTATACTGTTGATAAACAATATAAAAACAGACGTCACATAGGGCTAAATGCGTAGCGTAACTTACTTATGTCTTACTTATGATTAGAGATGGCGCCGACGCTGATGGCTGCCTCCGTGGCGTGCTCCGCAGTTGTTTTTATGTTTACCTGGTGTCGGGTGATGGTCATGATCGCTGCCTCACGTGTCTGGGCATTAAGCACGCTGAGGTGGCGTTCGTGGATGAGTCATGTTCTCATTGCGGGAATATGACCATCTTCGAGTTGTGGACCAAGCTCCATTACCTCAAAAGCAGAAAAGCAAGAGGCCCTGGGACGGGCGACCCAGAGACAGAGGGAACTGCTCTTTGGGGGATGGTGAATGCACCTCTCCCTCCCCCGGAGGAGGGCTGGGTGGAGAATCTGGTTTCCAAAAATCTCGACAAGAGAGCGGTTTTCTCTGTTTCTGGGTCCCAAGAGGGCATGGAGAGTCGCGGACGGACCAACACCGGGCCACACTCATCCTCCTCTCTGCACCCTCGCTGCCCCACCACGGGTAATTCGGTGGTCCCGCTGGTCCAGCTTGTACGGTGTCTGGGTGCCTGGCTACCCAAACCGTCCCGCTGGCTCCTGTGGACCATCAGACTCGGTTATGTGATTCAGTTCGTCCGGTACAGATCAGTACAAGGTCAAGGTCCTGCCCTTCGGGCTATCCCTGTCGCCCCGTGTCTTCACGAAAGTTGCGGAGGCAGCCCTTGTTCCCCTGAGAGAGCAGGGCGTTCACATTCTCAACTACCTCAACGACTGGCTCATACTAGCTCAGTCTCAGGATCAGTTGTGTGAACACAAGGATTTGGTGCTCTCGCAGCTCAGTCAGTTGGGCCTTCGCGTCAACTGGGAAAAGAGCAAACTCCTCAACACAGAGGATCTCTTTTCTCGGTGAGGAGTTGGATTCCATCGAACAGACAGCACGCCTCACGCAGGAACGTGCTCTGTCGGTGTTAAACTGCCTGAATACATTTAAGAGCAGGACAGCGGCCAAACCCTCACCCCGTGGTCAGACCTTGCGTTTCTCCGGGCAGGAGTGCCCCTGGAACAGGTCTCCAGGCATGCTGTGGTTTACACGGATGCCTCTGCCACCGGCTGAGGGGCCATGTACGATGGGCATGCAGTGTTGGGGGTTTGGACGTGCCCCCAACTGCACTGGCATGTCAACTGTCTAGAGTTGTTAGCAGTACACCTTGCCTCGAACCGTCTCAGAAGGTGCATACGAGGGAAGCACGTGCTGGTCCGAACGGACAACACTGCGACCGTTGCGTACATCAACCGACAAGGTGGTCTACGATCTCGTCGCATGTCGCAACTCGCCCGCCACCTCCTCCTCTGGAGTCAGAAGCATCTGAGGTCGCTTCGTGCCATTCACATTCCGGGTCTGCTTAACTGTGCAGCTGACAAGCTGTCACGAGCTGCGCTCCCCGGAGAGTGGAGAGTCCATCCCCAGATGGTCCAGCCTCTCACTGCCAGTTGTTTTACTCCCTTACTGAGGGAACACTCGGCACGGATGCACTGGCACACAGCTGGCCGCGGGGCCTGCACAAGTATGCATTTCCCCAGTGAGCCTTCTCGCACAGACACTGTGCAAGATCAGGGAGGACGAGGAGCAGGTCCTGCTTGTGGCGCCCCACTGGCCCACTCGGGCCTGGTTCCCGGAACTAATGCTCCTTTTGACAGCCCCTCCCTGGCAGATTCCTCTGAGGAAGGATCTACTGACTCAGAGATGGGGCACCCTTTGGCACCCGCGTCCAGACCTCTGGAAACTTCACGACTGGTCCCTGGATGGGACGCAGAGGTTCTCGTGGCCTACCCCAAGAGGTAGTAGACACCATCACTTCGGCAAGAGCACATATGAGACACGCTTATGCCTTGAAGTGGAACCTGTTCTTCGAGTTCGCAAGGGTTGGAGCGAAGGCTGTCTCCCTCCACCCTTAAAAGTCTATGTGGCTGCGATTGCTGCGTACCACGACCCTGTGGAAGGCAAGTCGGTAGGGAAGCATGACTTGGTCGTCAGGTTCCTTAGGGGGGTTGAGAAGGCTAAATCCCCCCCTGCCCCCCTCTATACCCTCTTGGGACCAGACTCTTGTGCTCAAAGCACTACAGCAGGGCCCATTTGAGCCTTTGCAGTCAGTCGAGCTAAAGTTTCTTTCAATGAAAACTCTGTTCCTGACTGCATTGGCCTCCATCAAGAGGGTAGAGGACCTGCACGCATTTTCGGTCGATGAATCGTGCCTAGAGTTTTGGCCGGCTGACTCCCAGGTAATCCCGAGGCCCCGGCCCGGCTACATGCCCAAGGTTCCTACTACCCCCTTCAGGGATCAGGTAGTTAACCTGCAAGCGCTGCCCACGGAGGAGGCAGACCTAGCCCTAGCTTAGCTTTGCTTTGCTTTGACCCGTCCGAGCCTTGAGATGGTGCGTAGACCGGACTTAAAGCTTCAGGATCTCAGATCAGCTCTTTGTCTGTTACGGAGGCCAACAGAAGGGGAATACCATCTCTAAGCAGAGGATGGCCTACTGGATAGTGGATGCCATCACCCTGGCTTATCAGGCACAGGGTGTGCCCTGCCTGCTCAGGTTGCGAGCTCACTCTACTAGAAGTGTTGCATCCTCCTGGGCGCTGGCTCGTGGCGCCTCGCTGACAGATATTTGTAGAGCTGCGGCCAGGGCGACCCCCCAACACGTTCGCTAGATTCTATAGCCTTTGTGTGGAGCCCTCGCAGCTCCTGTGTTCTCACCTCAAACGGGTAGAGGCACTGAGAGGCCCCGGTTTAGTGTCGGCTTGCTAAAACTGCTCCAAAGTGTCCGTACTGTAGGCCCTGTCGAGCTTCTCCATCCCCTCGGCAGCCAGACGTGGCGGAATGTTCAGCGCCAGGCCCTCACTCGATGAATAACGTGAGAACCGGTAGAGGGCTGGGTTCCATATGTAGAGACCTAAGTGGATCCCATGTGTGTAAAGTCCACGGTATAGCCTCAGAGCACGCGTTTCCCCGGCAGACTTCTGCCATTTCCAAGAGGGTTATAATCACCTCTAATCTTCCATATGCACCTAAACGGATGTTCATATGTGTAAGTGCTTCCGAAACCTCCTTCGGAAAGGATGGGGCTTCTGCAACGTTCCTGTTCCAAGTGGAACGGGTACGTTTTCCCAGTGTTATCCAATCTCACCAGTGGTGGGCCGTCAGGGCCAGCAAAGCCTTCTCTGCTGGCCTAAACA